GATCTCACCGACCCCCAAACCCAAGATTGGGCTCCTTCTCATCTGCCGGAATGAGGTGCATGTGCGTACCGTTTGCAAGTGGGGACGGTGTCAGGGGAGCGCCACTCATGTCCTCTATGTACGTATATGCATGGTCGCGGCTCACGCGGATGCCAGTTGTTTTTTCACTTTTTTAATGGGTATGGAAGTTGCCAACCGTACACACACTCAACCAAATACACAACGTACAAGCCGCACCCCACCCCTTATACAACACGAAACTATATTGCACTGCTGCGTACGTACTGGTATCCGTAGAAGAAGACCGAAACGAAAGCGGAAGACAGCCTGATACCGTATGTATCGGTACCTTAGATGGAACCACATCGTTTGTTGTCCTTGTCACGCCATTGCCAAACTCGCCTTCAAATACAAGACCACTCGCTGCATCGAAAACTGTTAGCTAAGTACCAGGCAACGTTGCCGTTACCGGTGTGCTTCCAACCAGCAACAACGGTAAACGGCACCTATACGTGTGGTTCTATACTGATCAATAGGCTTGTCAACTCGTGTGTGCAGAAGACCGTGTGTGTGCGTGGGTATGCCTACACTGATATCAATACTGTGGCGACGGTCGGGGAGATGGCACCGGGGTGCGTGCATACAACACCTGTATGTATATGCCCCGGTGGTCTAGTTGGCATCCGCGAAACCTTCTAGAGGTCAGGTCAGGGGTTCGAATCCCGGCGTAAGCGAGTTTTCTTGCAAAGTGAGTTTTTCTCTCGCTTCCGCTCCTGGTCTAGTGGATAGCGCTAGTTCGTGTGTACACAGAGGGAAGAGAGTGCTGAACTCTTCTCGCATTAAAAATCGAAGGCAAAGTACCGAGTACCGCAGGAGGGGAGGGTAGAGAGAAGTTCTTCTGTGTGACCACGGGTTGGAGTAAACGGCACTAGTGCTGTGAGCGCTGATTTGAAGTGAAGATTAAAAAAAAAAAAAAAACATCGGGGATCGCACCGGTCGGAGAGATCGCACCGGGGTGCCTTGAAAAAATTTAACGCAATGATTTAATTGCATTTCCGCACCGGGGTCAGAGAGATGGCACCGGGGGGGCGTACTCTTATGTT